TACGGCCTATCATCCTCAGACCGATGGTCAATCAGAACGAACCATTCAAACTCTCGAGGATATGCTACGCGCATGTGTCTTAGACTTTAGTGGTAGCTGGGATACCCACCTACCCTTGGTGGAGTTTTCTTACAACAATAGCTACCACTTGACAATTGGAATGGCTCCTTATGAGGCTTTATATAGACGTAAGTGTCGTATACCCTTGTGTTGGCGAGAGACGGGAGAGAAAGTTTTAGTTGGTCCGAACTCATTCAGATCACTCATGACAAAATTCAGATTATTCGCGAAAGAATGAGAGCTGCYCAAGATCGTCAAAAGTCTTATGCAGATCGTCGCAAAAGGCCAATCGATTTCTCAGTGGGTGATATGGTAATGGTGAAAGTTTCTCCTTGGCGAGGTGTACTTCGATTCCGAAAACAAGGTAAGTTAAGTCCACGATTTATTGGCCCGTTCAAAGTATTGGAGCGTATCGGAAAACAAGCTTATCGACTAGAGTTACCGTAGGAACTCACGGGAATACACGATGTGTTTCATGTCGGATACTTACGTAAATGTTTGTGTAAACATGAAGAGAGGGTGCCCTTAGCCGAAGTTAAAGTAGATGAGAAATTAAGATACATTGAAGAACTAGAATCAATTATGAACAAGAGAAAAGTGAAACTACGTAATAAGGAAGTAGACTTGGTATTGATCAAGTGGAAACACCACCGGGGACCAAATTGGACGTGGGAGCGAAAAGATGAGATGAAGGCGAAATACCCTTCTTTAGTTCCACAACACTGATTTCGGGGACGAAATCCTCAAAAGGAGGAGGTATTTGTAACATCTAATTTATAATATGCCCAATTATTTGCTTAGTATATTTAATTATTGGGTTAAATAGAACTTATTATTTAGTGGAAGTTTGGGTCTGAAGTTTTAAAATTTTATTTCTTAAGAATATATTAGAGGATTTGATATTTTTTTTACGTCAAATAGATACGTAAAACTGATTTTCTTGGGAGATATTTTCTGGAATATTTTTCTTGAAAGTTATAGATTATCTCTTTATTAACGTGTAGCCGAAAACCTCATAGAAAACGGAGGTTCGAGCGAAAAGTTATGAATAATTTAATTATTGATGGTCAAAATGGGTACCCAGCCGGGCCAAACCGGCCCAACTCGAGTTTTAGCATTATAAATTAGAGTTTTGGCCCATTTTTCATATCATCTAAGTCCAAAACTCACACACACACTAGAGGTGTGATTTTCACACACATAGGCTTGAATCAACTCAAATCAAAGAAGAACTACAAGATCTTTGAAGGATTTGATCATCAAGTAAGGTATAATCTATTTTTGCACTTGTTCTTCGTTGACATTCTTGTTTTATGGATTGCATGTTGAGATAGAGTTAGGCTTTCATAAGGGTTTGATCTTAAGTGTATAAAATGAGTGCTTTTTAGTGTTTATGGCTTGAAATGATCATTAGATTCAAGAGATTATCAAGATTTATGCAAGTTCAACATATGAACTTTGACTTGATTAAGTCAAAGATTTGGGAGATAATATAAATGATAAAATAAAGGTTGAATTTTGGTTTTTTATGTCAAATATGTTATATTAAGTTGAGATTGAAAAGTTGGAATGGTTTGGAATCGAAATGGTTTGAGTAAAATGTATGAAAATGAGAATTTTTGACTTTTGAATGCCTTGAAAGTGTGCAGACTTAGAAAATCTGTATAAAATCGTAGAAAAATCCAAATGAGATGAGGCCAATGTCCTTAGTTAGATATTTGAGTCTAGTTTATTTCTTATTTTATGATCAAGGCATGATTTCGAGCTTAAAATGGGAAAAATAGTTCTGCATGCAGCAGCTGTACATAGAAATTTAGGTAAAATGTTCAAATAGGATATGTGTATATCATGAGTTTCTTATATTGGTTGCTTATGAGATTTTGTATATTTACTCCAGGGGTAATTAAGACATGTTTTGATACTTTGGAAGGAATCTATGTGTGGTAGATTGGACTTGATTTGTGAGCTCAATTCAGAGCTTTTCGGTATTATACGGTTGCCCGGTGAGTTATATAGTTAATTGTTACATATTGATTTGAATATATATATATATATATATATTTTCATATGAATGTTTTTGGTCTTGAATGGAGTCACACAATCTTGATCTGTCTTTGATTCCGTCTCTTGAGTCGATTCCTTATTACTATCTCGGTATATCTGTTTGCTTTCTGAATCCGGACTCTTTTTTTTGTTCCTTGAATTGTATGCCATAGTACGGGTACTACTTCGTGTGGTACACCAGAAGTTGATGGCGAAGTCAAGATCTCGGGTTGGACGGGTGAGACTTTCTGCGGTTGTGAATACTCATTGCTCAGAAAGGAGGAAGGGCAATGAGTAGGGAACCTTGGCACATACCCGATAGAGGAAGGCGGCCAGTGCGAGGTTTCCCGTAATGTACGATTCTGACTCGTACTTTGGCATGAGCCCGGGAGGTGAAGGACGGGGTGATGCACTGTCTTCGTTATGTATACCGATTTGATCTCTTGATTCTTGATATTTATTGGTATTCTAACGTTGTTGAATATATTTGGTCATTGAACCTGTCTCCTTGTTGTATTGAGCAACAATGGTATGGTATAATATGGTGATTTGAATATGGAATCCTATGAAATCCTATGATCTTGGCATCCGGTACGTAATGGTTCACTCGGTTTCTTGTAAGTCTCGGTTTATATCTGGATGATGTCTTCAACTCTTTTATTGATAATAGTTTATTATATATGTTTATAATCATGTACGATATTGATATGTAATGCTTAACTATTTAACTCACTAAGCGTTGGCTTACCATTTAAGTGGCAACCTTTCTCAGGAAAGAAGACGGATAAATAGAAAGAACACGTTGTCTGACTTGAAGATTTATCGGGGAACTTGAAGATATCGATCTTGCTTTTGGGTAAATAGTAGCTTATATATATAGTATTGTCCCGTATTCTTTTGGTTACATAATTTGGGTTCTAAGTAAAAATCCATTATATCCGATTTGGAATCGTGTTTTGGGTGGTTTTATCACTAAAATAGAACGGATATTTCAATGTTTTTCTAGAAATTAATATCCCATATTTTGAGGTTAAATAATGTTATGCCCAGATCTGTGGGTTTCATGGCCTTTGGTCCTTCATGGCCTCTGGTCCTTCATGGCTCTGGTCCTTCATGGCCTCTTGTCCTTCATGGTCTCTGTTCCTTCATGGCCTCTTGTCTTTCATGACCTCTGGTCCTTCATGGCCTCTGGTTTTCTTCCAGACATAGCCATTTCAGCAGCCTCTGGACTATTGCCTCTGGTCCAACCATTGCCTCTGGTCCAACCATTGCCTCTGGTCTTCCTCCAGACTTAGTCTTTTTAGCAGCATTTTCAGATTTTCCATCCTTGGTTCAGATGGCTTTGACAAAACTATTAGAATAATTTAGGATCAATTTTGGTCCCAATAATCAATAAATTATATTATATTGGAGATTTTATAGGAATTGGTAATTTGGGGTTTGCTCAAGGCTGATGTTACACAAGGGGCACAATAGTTTTCCAAAATTTATCTTCGGTCCGGGTACCGTCAACTTCGTATCCGAGATTGTGATATTCCGAAAATTGCATTTAGAACACGCTATGGGAACTACAAATACTTATTAATGCCTTTCGGGCTAACTAATGCTCCAGCGGTCTTTATGGATCTTATGAATCGGGTTTTCAAGGATTATCTTGATAAATTTTTTATCGTGTTTATTGATGACATCTTGATTAACTCAAAGTCAAGAAAGCAACAAGATCAACATCTTCAAATTGTTTTAGAGACTCTTCAGAGAAAAAAGTTGTACGCAAAACTTTCCAAATGTGAATTCTGGCTCGATCAAGTGTCTTTTCTCGGACACGTAATCTCCGCCGAAGGTGTCAAAGTCGATCCGGAGAAAATTGAAACCGTCACTAATTGGTCACGAACTACGAACGTATCTGAAGTTCATGGTTTTGTGGGTCTGGCTGGTTATTACAGACGATTCGTTGAAGGTTTCTCTAAAATATCTCTGTCGTTGACCTGATTACTCCGAAAAGGAGTCAAATTCAATTGGGGATCTGAACAAGAATCTAGTTTTGAGGAATTAAAGTATCGATTGGTTACCACACCTATTCTTGTATTTCCTTCTGACACTGGTGGGTTTCAAGTTTACAGTGATGCTTCAAAGAAAAGTCTCGATTGTGTTCTTATGCAACACGGAAAAGTGATCGCATATGCTTCTCGTCAATTAAAGCCTTATGAGGTCAATTGTCCGACTCATGATCTCGAATTGGCTGCAGTGATGTTTGCACTCAAGATCTGGCGTCACTATTTGTACGGTGAAACCTATGAAGTTTTCACTGACCATAAAAGCCTCAAATATATCTTTACTCAAAAAGAGTTAAATATGCATCAACGAAGGTGGCTCGAACTTCTGAAAGATTACGATGTTCAGATACAGTATCATCCGGGCAAAGCTAACGTAGTCGCCGATGCTTTAAGCCATAAAGCTGTGGAACAAGTTTCTTCTTTAAATGTTTCTACAGAGTTGGCTTTAGAAATATAATGGTTCAGACTAGAAATCTATCTAAATTCGCAAACGGAAATTCTATCGAATCTAATGGTAGATCCGACTCTAATCTCTCGGAACAAAGAAGCCCAGCAAAATGAGAGTGAATTATGGGCAAATTTCCAGCAGACACAAGAGAATTCTAGTTCAGAGTTCAGAATTGATGATGATCGCATGTTGTGGTTTCGGGATCGTCTTTGTATTCTGAATAACTCAGAGCTTAGAGATCTAATTATGACTGAAGCTCATAACTCTATGTTTTCGGTTCATCCTGGCACAACAAAAATATATCGTGATTTGAGGAACCATTACTGGTGGATTGGAATGAAACAAGATATCACCGACTTTGTAGCTTGTTGTCTCACTTTTCAACAAGTTCAAATTGAACATCAACGTTCGGGTGGTGTTCTCCAATCATTGAACATTCCAGTATGCAAATGAGAGCACATAACTATGGATTTTGTAGTCGGATTACCCCGTACGATCTTGAAACACGATGCAATATGGGTAGTAGTTGATCGACTCACAAAATCGGCTCATTTTCTTCCTGTCCAACAAAACTTCGGCAATTGTTAAGCTGACTAAAGTTTTCCAACGTGAGATTGTGCGTCTTCATGGCACACCTATATCGATTACCTCCGATCGATACCCACGTTTTACATCTCGATTTTGGGAAGGTTTATGTTGGTCCCTTGAGGGTCTACAAGAATAGTAAAACAGTTTGATAAAGCATATCAATACAGATTTTATAAGATTGTTTGTGGAAAGATAAGGTGATAAAAACCTATCTAAACAATCTTTAGTTACACACTAAGTCTTAGCAAATACAAGAAAAGATATGTTGTAGAGAAGATCCTTTACTTAAGCTAGGAAATGCTTGAAGTAAGAATTAGGGCTAGAGAGTGAGTTGCGCACACTCTGCATGGAAAAGAAACACTTCTATTTATACCAGTGCATTAAATGTTCATTTAATGCAATATGGTAGGGTTATAGTGCGTGTTAAGCCTTAAGAGGAAGGCTTGTACTTTGCTACAGTGAATAGTACAAAAGCACTATTCAAGAGCAGACATCCTTACCTAAAGTTGGTGGACAATAGAGTCGACTAGTCGGCTTCGTACCGTACCAAGTTCCATAAGGGTATGGTGTTTGTCCTTTGTGTGTATAAGGACAAGACAACAACAATCGTGCTAAGCAAGCTTCCTTTGATCGCTGAATGCTGGAATGACCTGAAGGTCTCTTCATCATTCGCTGAAGCTTGAGCAGTCTTCACACATATGTAGACAGGCTTGTAATTACTGAATACCGCTTCAGATCACGTACTCACCAGTCTCTAATCTTCAGTTTCAGTCTTTGACGTTTGCTGAAGGTTCTTTGGTGTGAGTGTTGTCTTCTTGAAGTGTTGCTATCTCTGATAGATTTACAATGCAAGTTCTTCAGCGATCACTGAATATACTCAGTGAAGGTCGCTGCAACTGAAAAGATAGAAACATAAATACCACGTATAAGTGAAAAGGGATTATCATCAAATCACTAAGAGAGAGGATCAACAATCTCCCCCTATTTGATGATAACAAGATAACATAAAGAAGGCTATCTTATCAAATAATAGTAAGGAAAAATTATATATAAAGTACATGTCCCTTTTTACTATTTCGGGATCTTTTTCAGTTAGCCATTCTCAGCTTGAGAATTTTCGTTAAGTTATATCTAAGAAAATTACAAGTACGGAAACTGAAACTGAAAGCATATTCAATGACTTATAGATTGTCAGTAAATTCGAAAAGTAACACTGGAACTCATAGACTTGTGTCCCTATCACTTTTTTCAGTGAAGTACATGGAATACTAATTTTATTAATCACAGGAAATATTACAAGTATTACAGTATATGTCTAGTGCTTACAGATTATAAGTACAATCACTGAAAGTAGACATAGTGTCACACCCCGTTAAAGCGCAAACACGAGATGAAACAGGTAAGCGAGTCACATCAACAAATATTAAATAACACCATTCAATTTTTAGAAGATTCGAATTTAACATCCTTAACCAAGATGGAGATAGAATAATTCTTTACAAAAGTTTCAAAATGAACTTAATCGGTGTCGTCACATATATGCTCCAAAACTTCATTTCTTATTTACTTCATGAAAAGCAAGAAACATAAAACAACGTCAACTACAAAGAGTTGGTGAGTTCACGGATATTCATATGCACAAAATTATTTTCAATGCATAAATCGATCCTTTCAAACTAATACATAAACTTGCACCCGATAAATGTAAATCTATAACAATGTTTAAAAAAGTTGAGACACTACTGAGCCTTTCCTGACCAATGTGCCCCATTATTTTACGAACTACCATAAAGTGGCCCGCGCTCACTAAGGTACCATGGTTCGTATTAGTACTACTTTAGCGGTGGCTCGTTCGCACACATGAGTAGACTATAAAACATAGGTAATGTGCACCTGTTTTTGGGTGGGACTGTCAACACAATATCGGCTATCCACAATTACCACGGCCCCGGAACGTGCCCAAGTTAACTATTAGCATTTACGGGAGGGGACTTTTTTAAACATATCCTCTCAAGTACATCAATTTACCATTTATACCATAGTGCAATACAGTCAATTTTTCATAACTTCAACAAATCTTGACTAAACAGTTCTTTAGTCCAACAGTTTTACAATAAACAGTATAGTTTGCACAACTTCATGCTTTTCCCCCACTTTAAATAAACAAAAAACAATAAAAGTTAGGCCGTGAATACTCACAAGTTTGCTGATGAATATCCCAGAATTTGATGACGTTTGAAACACTACACGTCTGCCCTAACTTTCCTAACCTATCGGGTCTCGATAAAGATAAAGTCAAATTATATCTTATGTAATGCCAATAAGTTTTTATGAATTAAAGTTGATACTTATATCATTTGCTCTAAAAATAGTCCAGAAATTATACATTTTAAAAATCAAAGTCCTTTGCACATAGAGTTACCACTTGGATAGAATGCAAATTCTGTTTCTGGAATTTTGGTCACACAAATCACTGTCAAAAGAAATCTTCCATAACTCTTTTTGAGTCCAAATTTTATACCATCAAAAATAATGAGTTAAATAGATTTTTCCCAAATATCAAGAATTTTGGATAGGTTTAAGGCACTCATCATTACCCTACAACTTTGAGTGACACAGTCCCCAAGACAGATTACACATTCTTCGAGTGACGGCCGTTTGGGGGGTCTAAACTCATAATTTTTTAGTAATGTTAACTTTATTTTAAAGTAAACACATAAGGCTAACTTCCTGAAAAATAATCACCCATTTGTATTGAGTTTTGAAGGAGATATGACCGTTTTAAAATGCATGCAAGATTCTGTCAGCATTGCTCTTTTTGCACCATAATCTTGTATAAAGAACTTGAAGTCTCAAAACTCAATATTTTTGAGTAAGACCAGATGCATTAGAAAGATAACTCATAAAAATAAGTTCTAGGAGAAAGATAGACCATTTTTAAGGAATATCCAGAGAGTGATATGGTCGTCCAAAGTAGGTTTTGCCTACTGTCAAGTGTGCCGTTGCACACTTATTTTATTTTAAACATTTGAAAGTTCAAAACTTACTCTTTTTATGTGATTCCAGTGGGGATAGAACCCTAACTCACTGAACTTTATTTTTAAGAAAAGAAACGTAGCATTTAAACTATTATTTTGGGAGAAATGGGCAACATAACTACTAGGTAGTAATCTGTCAGCTCCAACCAGCCCCTTTTATGGTCAAAAACCCACATGCAAGCACTTTTACCAACTTTTCTTGAGTTCCAATGTTTATAGATCATAGATGCTACAGCTTTGATCCACCACCGGGATACATAATAGAAGAAAAAAAAGCTTCTCTTGCTGGTTTCGAGCAGTGAGTTACCCGCTTACGATACCAAAAAAAGAGGAACCCCCCTCCATTATTTTGAAGACATTTTCATGTCTTTCATGTATAATCTTGTGAGTCCCCTTTAGTGATCAATATTCATAAACCTTATATTCATGGCAGATCTAAGATAAATCTTCAAGAACACATATGATGAACTTTGAGAGAAATAGTCAACAATAAAAGCTTTGGTCAAACCCTCTTATTACGTAATCAGATTTACAATGAAGCTCTCATCTACTTTTTACGAAGAAAAATTCCCTATTTATAGGGTCAAACTACTAAACAAGGTCAAAGTCAAACTCCTATAAGAAAAGTCAAACACGATGACTTTTACAATTATAGACAATATTTAACTTTCAAGATGAATACAATTGAATACTGATTTCCAGTCCTAACATTCTCCCCCTTTGTATTCAGACTTAAAAGAAGTTATGCGCTTTGAGTCCTGTTTGAACTTTGAAACTTTAAGCACATTATGTCTTCTTTCAAAAGAATTTCTTCAACTTGAAATCTTCAGACAATTATCTATTGAGAAAGATCTTCTAACATTCTCCCCCTCGAATGTAGAATCGTGATGACCTTCTCTTTTGACAATGTAGAACAGTAATCAACAGAACCAATGTACAAGATGTGATCTTCAAAGGATCTTTATACAACAAATCCCAAACTTTTTCTTCGATAAAATTTTGAAACATTGATCTTCTCATTCAAAAACTCTTAGTCGTTGTAGCACATGAATAATCTTTCTGTGATTATCTCCAGTCGCACTTCTTTTTAGTCTTTTGCCAAATTTGAAGTTACTCCCCCTTGATCTTTGCATCAGATTCCATTTAAAAATGTTCAGAAATAATATTTCATTCATTATTACATACTCCCCTTTATGATGAAATGAGAATCATTCCATCAAACATAAGAATGAATGAAATTTTCCGCGTAAGCCGTCAATTCATGAAAATGTAAATAGATCTTTGCAAATCCACTTATTTAATATTTTCAGATTAAGGGATTGGGGAGGTAACATCCAATTTCAACGAATGAAATTGTTTTCAATCTTATATAAAAAATTGGCCTGTGAGTATAACAGATATACTCAGTACAACGGATATACTGTATATATGAGACTTTTTGATGCTCATCTCACCAGGTCTTCCATTCAATCACCGATAGCTAAAAAATAACATATCTATGAATGTTTAAGCAAATTAACATATAAAATGCTATTTGTGTAGTGTAGAAAGATAAAGCAACGTATGCTTCTGTTTAGGCTCAAAAAGACAAATCGTGTAGACTACACAAATTTATCAAACTCAATATGTGATCAAAAAGACTTGAAGGGGGACATATATCCTTCTGATTCAATATCAACTTTCTCCGAATGAGAAACTGATAGATGATGAGTTGCGTGCCCCAAGTGTTATTGAAACACTTATCTTTTGAGAGATAAATGAGTAGATGGTGGGGTTGTGACAAGAATTGGCATGGGCTTCGCTTTTTTAAATATTAGTCTCCAAAAA